AACGTTGCTGTCCCCATAAGACTTTGCAGGCAATCGAGCCCCACAAATCAGCTGTGTTCCTGTTTTTGCTGCATTTGCCTGCATCACCATCACATAGATAATTGCGAGAAAAAAATTGAGGAAGTAACTGCTACTCTACAGTTTCCAGTTACGATTTTGTGGTTTTTCTCTCTGAAAGCCATAGAAATGACTAAGCATGTGCAGTCTTTTTTTTTTCATGGCAGAAGTGTACAGTGCTGTTTACCAGAAATATGACTGATAAAGCTTCATATTGGTGGGAAATAGTAACTTAATATCTCTATAATATGGAATATATTCTTCCTTTTTTTTTCTTTAGATGTTTTATAAAAGTTGCTGGTTCTAGTTTCGCATGTACCCTATGCCTATTCTCATCTCAGGTTTTTCTCCTCAAAGCTCAAAACTCAAGCTTCCCTATAAAAGTACTCCTCCAAGTTTCATTCTTTGTGCTTTTGCTTCCGATCAGTTTCAGTGTGATTTGATCCCTTTCTACTCTGTTTGACCTCCTTTTTTTCTTACCAGCTAGCTAGCAGCAGAGTAAGTGCTGTCAGGGTGTCAGTTAAAGTTAAAGTTAAACGCTCCTGTGAGTGTCTCTAGGCCAGGTAAGTGCAACACCAATCTGCGTCAAATAATTACATAACTACCTGTACTTAGGCCGTTATGATAAATGCTGACTACAGTGCCTGCAGGAACCTCCTATCGATAGTTTAGTGTGCATAGAAACCATGTAACACACCTATCCGCCACATATGACAGGTCATATAGGCAAATAGCCTACCTTACGGAGTTTTATAAAAATCCTATACACTATTGTTACATCTACTACTATGTTTTGGTTTTTATAATAAGGAGCTTTAGCCATTCTCAACATTTATGTATTTTTTTGTTTTCCATAGTTCTTTTCTTTAAGGCTGTATTTACAAATTTGACAAGCACCCTTCATGTATGCATCTGTCCTGACATAACATCTGTACGGCTAAAGGCTGTCTGGATTTAGCAGTCCAGATGTCTTCTTTTTACCCTCTATAGTGTTCATTCAGTTGACCCAAAGAAAGCTGAAAGGATAGGAGCTAGAAACAGGAGGAAGAAGCTATAATAATTTACAGACCAAGGAAACGTCTTAAAGTTGCAGGACTTTGGCCCTCAATGGCATGAGTTGCCAATCTCTAGGCCAGGCATTCCCAAACTCGGTCCTCAAGGCCCCCTGTCCTGCAGGTTTTAGAGGTTTCTCTGCTTCAGCACAGCTGGTTATAATGATTGCAGTAGACCAAAAGCCTGTTAATCAGCTTTCAATTAAAATCAGCTGTGCTGGAGCAAGGAAACCTCTAAAACCTGCAGGACAGGGGGCCATGAGGACCGAGTTTGGGGATGCCTGCTCTAGGCAATCCTCTCTTTTGAAGTTTTAAAATTTTGTCTGAGGGCAGAGTTATGCTTCTACATTCGGTTTAGTAACTCTTTCATTAATTTTAACATCAGCAAAGAGAATAATTTGTTAAATCAGAGGAACTTCATAGCTAGTGCTTATTAGTCTTTAAAAATATCTTACTAATCTCACTTTTTTAATCTAATGTTGTCTTATTGTGTGTTACATTAACCTACAGCCTACTGTGCATATAATATATGGCTATATACTGTATATTATATATAGTATATTGTATTTTTTATATTGAATATATGTATAGATTATGTATTATCTATATACATCTCATTTGTCTGCACAATCAACACCAGGTCAAATTCCTTGGAAGTGCAAACCTACGTGGCAAAAATATCTGATTCTGAATCTGATTGTGATGAATGTGATGAATTAGAGCCAAAGTTTTCCCTTAAGGGAACCCCTGCAGGACAGCTTTAAATCAATTTAAACCCCCTACAGCAAATAAGGCACACAAAACAACAAAAAAGTTTATACCCGAAGATTTGAGTAACAACTTCCGCAAGTGTTACAAAAATATAAGATTAAGTTTCCAGTTAAATGTCTCATTTCACAGGATTTACAAAAAGATGGGGAAGTTTTATCTTATTTTATTTTTAACGTACCTGAACATTTCTGCTTTCTGAAAGTTTGTGTGTGAAAACAGCTTAATCCAAAATTATGGATTCTCACCTTAATGAGATAGTTAGGCATGAATGGAATACTAAATCACCTCTTTGGTCAGGAGGAACGGGGCCAACCTGCTTACAAATTGCAAGTGAACAAACAGACTATAGGCTGAACTGCAGCCAACTACTTTAAGAAGTAAGGAGCTAAAAAGAGGCAGAAATGAGAGGCTATAGGAGGGGTGCATTCCTTTCCACATAATTAGGTTTTATTGCCTTTGGTGGGATCATATCTCTTTCCTTTATCTTTCCTCTCAGCATGTTTTTCCTCACCATTCTGTTACTCTGAGAATCCCTGCATCAAGCTTCAAAACTCAGTCACCTCTAACGAAGACATGAGCAAAGTATGAGTCAGGAAATCCACACTTAAAACATTTAAGAGGGGAAGTAAGTAGGAGATGGTGAGATGATAAGATCCATGACATTTCCTTTCAACTTCAACTGCGTTTTATGTTGGCCCAGCTGCTTTCAGCCCCTGCCAAGGGTTGCTAAGTCCTATAACTGAAAGAAAATACAAAGTGGAGAAACCTTAGTTAACCTTTGCATATATGCGTTAACCCAAAGACAGATTCCTGAATCATTTTAAATGAAAGAAAAATTACCTTGGATGGAAAAGGGTATAAAATTAAGTTGAGCTTTTTGATTAATTCTACAGGAAGCCTTGACACTTGTACCAGTTGAAAAATATTTAAGTTTACATAACACATAAAATAGTTCCTTCATACTGTAGGCAGCGAAATACCAGTGTGACAGTTCCTGGATTACAATCTTAAATATTACATTTCCTACTTAGCCACAGATAATCCAAGCCATGAATAAATAAGGCAGGAAAATTCAGTGTTTAATATTAATTGTTAACCAGCTATAGTTAGAATTTTGCTATCTAACGTGACTGGTTGACATTTGTTTTATAAATGCACTCATGAATGCTTCATGTAAAAGCTTGCTGTAAATCTGAGCTGTTATGTTGCCTCTAACTTGGTTCAGGGAGTTTGAGGAAATATTCACAATATGAGAGGCTTGATAAAAACTCTATAAACACGAATAAAGGTCGAAAGGAATCCTGGAATTCCGTGTGGAGCTGAGATAAGACATGGCGGAAAAAAAATATAAACATACATAATTATAGAGATTAAGTTACTACAGTTAACTCATACACAAGTTGTGGAGTTACCAAAAAAATACAATAAAAACATTTTTTTTTGAAAGTCAAAAGAAAATATAAAGGTTGTCATTAGAGTAGTTAACTAAATGAGAGAGCAAAGTTCCCCTTTAATTTTATGATGCATCCTATTCTGAAAGTGTGTATCATGGCTTTCTGGTTTAACTTGTAATTTTTAATCAAAAAAATTTTGTAAGATAAATAAATATATATATGTTTAATTAAATATCACATGACTCAATAAATATCCACAAAAAAGCTAGTTCCAGCTCTTATCTCATGTTGGTATGGTCTGATTCTGGTTTCTTGTTTAAACAACGTTAAACATTCAATGTTATTGACTTCCTTAATCAAAGGAAAGTATTGAGAATGTCTGTTTCTTTCAGTAGATTGCACTCCTGATTCTTTTTTTTCATCTGCGCACCGGACTGGAGTTGTGACAGGCTGCCACAGGCGCCTACGCTCTACCCCTTCTATTCATTCGGCTAGCTGATCTGAATCGTTCAATTCCATTTGGAGAGCGAGATCATCTGTGGTCGTAGCACTAGACATCTTCCAGGCACGTGAGTAAAACTAGCAGCAGTTCAGCAGACAGGATGAATGAATGGTAGCCGGCGCGCGCAGATGACGTCATACACATGCCGCTATGTTTTTAAAATATATAAATATAAAAAATATAACCGCGGATGTCTGGGGGACAGCGATTCGCCTACATGTTATGAATGCTGGCGTACCATAAATGATAAATTATGAACAGTTCAGTTAGTGCCTTCAAGTTGATTGCCCATAGGAAGACGTTACTTGGATATAACCTAACGGAATATCTACAGAACGGCTCCATATGACACAAAACTCATATGGGTGAGTAGAACATGATGTAATAACGTAAAATCAAGGGACAAATGTAAAAAAAACAGCATTCCCCTTTAATTTGTATACATAAAATTCAAACAAAACACATGAAGCTCTGTTGTTTTAATCTGACAAATATCCATCCATTTTCTGACACGCTTTATCCCGAATAGGGTCACAAGGGGTGTTGGTGCCTGTCTCCATCGCAGGGCAACACAGAGACAAACAACCATTCACACCTAAGGAGAATTTTAGAGAAGCCAATTAACCTAACAGTCATAAGTTTTGGACTGTGGGAGGAAGCCGGAGTACCCGGAGAGAACCCACGCATGCTCAGGGAGAACATGCAAAGTCCCTGCAGAAAGATCCCAGGCCAGGAATCGAGCCTACAACCTTCTTCCTGCAAGGCAGCAGTGCTACCCACTGCAGCAGCATTACTGAGCAGACCCCTGAAAATAATATAATAAAGTTTAATGAATTGCAGGAATACTTTGGAATGGTTCTGCAAGTGAGATTCTGGAGTAAAATGAACTGCAATAAACCAAGTATCCACCCGCTGCCTTTTCGATCTCCCCCCAGTTGGTGTGATTGATGCAGAGGAATCTGCTGCATCACTGAGGGCTCTCTGTTCGGCCCACACACACACAGGCGCTGGCCTTTTCTCCGGAGCCAGACAGAGAGCGGCGCAGGCAGGGCTTTCTATGCAAATATAGCCTGAGTAGGCGGCAGCCCCTAGCCTGAGCAGAGTGTGCAGCAATGTGAGAACCCTCACAGACTCCGCCCACGTCGCCCAGTTACTAAGCAACCACCTGCGAGGAGGAGGGAGCGAAGGGGCGAAACTACGAATTCAACTGTTGCCTGATCTGAGCTCAACTGCAGCCGGCGAACCAGTCAGCGGCGGAGAGGAAGTGTCTGATAGGTGCAGAGAGGGTTCGGTCTGTGTGTGAGAGACTGAGAAAGGCAGCTGTATTACATCCAGGACGGTACCACTACCGGGGACCCAGTCTGTGGATTATCCCTCGCCTGTGAAGGAACACCTGTGTGTGGAGAGAGAGCCGGACTGAACCCTGGAGAGCAGGGCGGGTGGATGACTTCTGTGGATGCGGGTCTGAGCGGTGGAGAAAGGGAGGCTGCTGAACATGGGCCCCCCCCTGTAGTCACCGGGGTAAGAGACCTGAATGCGCCCAGCATGCTGAAATGTGGGTGTGATGAAATGTTACTTGACAGAATGAGAACAAAACCAGAATCTGGTCATTGGTGGCTTTTTTTTTTTTTGCTGAACTGTTTGTGTTGAGGGGGTATAGAGTATCAAGGGGGGGTCTATTTGTGTTTGAATGTGGCTGGTAAACATAGTTGACCCTGCCCTGCAGCCTGCCACTCCTCACTCCTTCCATCAGTGTCTTCTTTCCTCCTTGTTTTTCTTCTCCTCTTCTGTTTTACTTCAACATCTTCACTGATGGTAATGTGATTAATTGGAAATTAGGGTTTCAGGCAACAGCAGGGGAGGATGGCTGGGGATTAAAAGTGTCAGGCTGGGGTCCCCTCAGCCAGGTGGAATAGTAGGGAAAGAAAAAAAGAGGAATGAATGTGTTAAAAAAAAAAAGTTTTTTTTTTTTTGCTTTACAAGCAGTACATTTAGGGTTGCAAATAACGATTATTTTGCAAATCGATTAATCTATTGATTGTTCTAAGTTATTTCCCTCTGGGATTATTAAAGTATACTGATTCTGATTCTGAATTTTTTGGATTCATCGATTAATAATCGAATAGCAAAAGGTTCCTTAATATAGACTTTTTGCTAAATTAAACCAGGTGAAACTAAAACTTTTCCACTTGAGGATTTCTGGATATAGCATATAGACAGACCAACAAGTTTTTATTTATCGTAAATGCAAAATTTATTTTTTGGGACAATTTTAGGTCGCTCCAGCAGCTAAAGGTCAGTTTTAGAGCCTCTATACTCCAATAAACGATTTATCAATTTCTGGATTAGTTGACGATTGTTTCACTAATAGATTAATCCGATTACTTGTTTCAGCCCTGAATACGATGCTTATAAAGTCAATACTATGCCTAGATATGAGGTGCATATTTAAAACCTTTTGGAGTTTTTTACAAGAAAGAGTTTCCCAACCCTGCTGCTTCTAAACACATATTTTAACTACTTTTCAAAGTTATTTTCTACCTACTAATTATAGATATTAAAACTTTAGATGAGCTAGGACATAAGTGGCAGAAATCCTGGTGATTATTTACTGATGATCATAACCCTGCTGGGTTATGAAGTTTTAAATTTCTACCGCAGAGTTTTGCAAGAACACAAATATTCCCAAAAGCTCACAAAAATGTTTTTTTTTTTTCTGCTTCCTTTTTTTTTTTTGGTTTAGTGACATTACAAGAGGTTTCAAAAACTGTTCTTAGGCTGTGCTTGTAGTTACCATGTTGGATTAAAAACTCACCTGGTGTTTGAGATCCATTAGAGTTGTTATTGGCTCAACCACCAGGGTTTGAATTTGATGAATGCTGATGCAAATTGCTAGTAAAACAGCAATTATTGAATCTGTTCTGTTTTTAGTTTCCTCACTTGTTTTAAAACTTTTTTATTTTTAAAGCATAAGTTAGTAAACATACAACCCATTCACGACATCTGAAAAAATGTTTGCATATTTGTCTGGAGGGAGCTGTCAATCCACGGGCATGCACCCCAGGGTGCACCGTGCAAACTAGTAGCTACACCTCAGACAGAAATGTACCTGTGCTGTATTAGAGGGGTTTCAGCTGCTTCCAGCTTGGGAGGGAGCTACGGGAGTCAAAATGTTCATCTGTGATAAAAGTCACAATATTTTCTGCAGCCCTAGATTCAATGGATGTGCCTCTTTTATTTTATTTTTCTTAGTTTGTTTTTTTAAGAACTTTTGTTGTAATGCCATCCATTCAGCCCTTTATTCCACTTTTTATTGTCCTGCCAAAATAATAACATTTTAAAACAGTCAGTTGTTGTTCATGTGTGGGGCGACAGTGGCGTTGGATGTAGGAGTTTGCCCTGAAATCGAAGGGTTGACGGTTCAAGCCCCGACTCCGACTTTCATTGTCGTTGTGTCCTTGGGCAAGACACTTCACCTGCATTGTCTACTGATGGTGGTCAGAGGGCCCGGTGGCGCCAGTGTACGGCAGCCTCGCTTCTGTCAGTGAGCCCCAGGGCAGCTGTGGCTACAATGTAGCTTGCCACCATCAGTGTGTGAGTGTGTGCGTGAATGGGTGAATGAATGTAGTGTAAAGCGCTTTGGTCAAGTCTCCTAACTTGAATAAAGGCGCTATATAAGTACATGCCATTTACCATTTACCATTTACCATATAGAATGGTAGTTATTAGTGAAGGATTTAATGTCTTAGGGAAATCATATTTGAATGTCAAATCATTCTGGTTTAAACATGTATATAAATATACTCTTTATCAGACGATATTGTCCAAAAATGTAGAAAAATCCTGTCTTAAAATTTGTGGGGGTGTTTCTTCGTTATCTTCTGCAGGCCAGTTAGTTATATGTCAGCCTGAACACCTAAATTCGGCCAATCATATATCAAAGGTCATCTTTCAATCAAATTTTTTCAACATAGCATCTTGATTCATATGTCGCAGCTAATATATGCAACGGTTGAAATAAAAAATAAGAATCCTTTCCTTTACCAGTGAGTTCCGTCCCAGTGTTCACGGGGATGGACGTCTGTGTCTTCAGCAGGCGTAGAGCTAACAGAACTGGCAGCGTTACGAGGCAAGGGCTCAAACATGTACGGCTGGAAGCCTTCTACACCAAACCAAGCTTCTGCCGCCCTGGCGTCCTCTTCCACAACATCTTTGTCCTCGATTTCCTCCTCTAAATAAAAAATGTATGACGGAGGAGACTCCTCCACGACCTCCGACACTAAACTCTCCTCCTCTTGCATGTTTCCGCTGTCCATAGCGTTCCTTCACAGTGTCGTTTCTTAGTGCTACTGGGTCCCAATGTAATTCCCATTGGGAACCTACTAACACTAAGTTGCTAACTGGTTAGCAAGATGCTTCCGACAAAGCGGGGTCAACCAAACTTGTTTGCGAACCTTCCACCACAACAATCCCGCCTTCTTGATAAACAACCAATCACATTCACTTTATTCACTCGTGTACAGTCGGGCATCACTCAGGAGAATTCGGAAATGCAACGGTTGGCATTACCAATTTCTATAGAGGAAAAGATGTTAACTTGTTGGGTTTAAATATAACATGGTGTCTCATTTTTGACATTTCGTAGATCTTCATCTTTTCACTGTAATATTTCACTAATTAAAACAGTATTAATATAATAGCAGTGCATGTTTTCCTTTTAGACAAACCTTATCCTTGTGAGTTTAGTTTCTATGGCATGTTTGGTGAAAAATAAATAGTAAACGGGTAAGAGTTACATTTGTAAATACTTTCTATAACTTTTTACTTTTCAGTGTTGTAATTTTAAACAGCCAAGAGCTGTGTGCATAGAAATAGCACATAGAATATGAAATCATTTTCTTTTTTCACTCATTACATTATGGAGGAGCAGGTAGTGATTATATGGAATAAAAAACTAGTCTGAATGCTTTCAAATGATTTTTGCCATTTCATTTTGGGGCTTGGCACATATGGAGAATTGCTGTTTTTGGGTCAGGAGTCACGTTTAGGACTAAGGTGTGAATTGAGTTTAGGTTTAGTTTAGGCTTAGGTATGAATCCATAATAGTTAGGGTTAGGGCTTAAACAATTAATCAGCTTCATCATGATTAATTGATTATTGAAATAATCATCATCTAATTATGTAATCTATTAATAATTAATTGAAGTATAGAGACTCTTAAACCTTTAGCTGACAGAGGAAACCACTTAGAGTAGTTATACCAAAATTGAGAAAAAATATATAAACTTTGTATTTAAGATTAAAAATCTTCTCTCAATATTCTCTATCCAGAACTCCACAAGTCGAAACGTTTAGGTTTCAACTGGTTTCATTCTGGTTTCATTCGATTATTAATCGATTAACCGAAAAAAATCAACAGATTAATCGATCATCACAATAATCGTAAAGTCAATAGAACGGCCCTGCAAAGATAGTGAGACAAGAAGTGTGTTTTTTTTCTGTTTTTTTTTTCCTTTTTCTTCATCCCTCCTTTTTAGATCTGCTTCCTCAAGCAGCACACTGCACATCCAGGTGTTTTATGTTATTAAGGGTTTAGTCTTTTTCACTGTAAGGACAGGGTCGAGCAGAAGTTGATGATATATTCTTGCCCTGACTCTCAGGGCCCCTTCAGGGAGGGGCCCCAAGGCGGTTAACTATCTTAGCATTATAGTAAGGCTGCCCCTGCTCAACAGAGCCCTGACCAGCTCCCCCTGGCTTATGTGATGTCATCAGGGGCCTCTGTGTCTGCTGCCTGGGAGCTTGTGGTTAAACCATATAAATTACAATTTACAACAAAGTTAATTGAACGTAGAGAAAATCCTGGATAGTAGCTTTAAAACCTGCTAAATATGCAGTAAATCACAGGAGAAAAGATGACATATCGCTCCTTCTTCAACAGAGTCTAAGCATGGGGCTTTGATCCTGGAAGCTTAACTTTATTTGTATTGTTAATAGCAACCTGTGACGTCAACCTGCTCTGTCATTTTGAATACAGCAGGTCTGTGACTGGCGATTGCATAATGGGATTGGTCTGCCTCACCAGAGCAGAAGATTCACTGGTGATTGTTTCAGGCTTGAAACAGTCTCTGGCAGCTTTTCCAGGGAAAATGATTTTCTCTGCTTCCTTACCTCAATCTATTGAAAATAACTTGATTTTCTCTTCTTAAAGAGGACTGCTTCTGAGCCTGGTGCGTCTGTTAATGAAAAGCATGTTCACCAGTACTAGAATAACGAGATTAAATCGGTGCAAAGCCTGAGTGGAAGGAGGTCAATCTGTAGTAAGTACGACAAAAAGAAAAGACTCAAATACACACTACAGCAGTTTCTAACACTTTGGCATTGAGAGAAAAGAAGCAACATTATGTAGACCAAATAGACACGTCCTTACACAGCTGCAGGTTTATTACATTCTTAGTTCGATCTGATGCCCAAAACAGTTCTCAAGAAACGGCTAAAAGACTGACAGGGGCTGAATCTACCGA